CATAAATGCCTGTCTCTTATACCAATACTCTACCAACTAGCTGTTGTCTATTCTATAAAGATATGCAACCTTAGTAAACTCAGGTGCTTTTTTATTCTAACTGCATTTGCATCAAAAAGCTTGCAAGATTCTGCTTCTAAAAGGAGCAAGGACATACTAATTTGAGTCTTCTTTTGCATTATTCAAGACTTTGTCTTGACCAGATCTCCAATCAGTACACTGGGGAGCAGCGCAGGCCTCACACTTCTGCCAGTGTCTCTGCACTGTGCTATAGGCAGCATCAGCACCAGGGAACATTTGGAAAGCATCACTGATGTGTAAACGTTAGCTATAACACCTACAGAGGCAGAAACAAGCTCCAATTTCATGACTACGTGATTTGATGGAGGCAATTAAAAAAGAGGGAATAGAACCAGCAAGCAGCAGCATTGTGATTGAACATCCCTTGCATAATTTGGCCTTTGATCTTATTAATCTAATTCCCAAAGGCAGTTAATAGCTTTGCTGATGCTTTAGAGTGCCTGGCAGTCATACAACAGGCCCCTCTCCGAGGGAACAAAATTCAGATGCCAGAGAAAAGACTGCCCAGTCATGGGGCTTCGGCTAAACGCTGGAGAAATGACAGTGATGTTACAGAAGATTGTTGCTGATCAATTTGCAGCAAGACAGGTATAAGCACTGAGTGCACCACCACACACCCGCCAAAGGCTGATCTTCTCATAAGCATCACAGCAGTGGCAAGATATGATGATTTTCAAAAACCTCACTGAGAAAAATCTAGAGCTTCCTGGATGTATGGCAAAATTAATGGGACTGCAAAGAGAAAACAGGACCCTGGAGTTACTGGCTAAGCTGGGAAGGGTCGAGGACACAGGGATGCCCAGGTGACATTTAAGCCACAAGGAAGACTGTGGGTATGCTTGGCCTTGCCAAGGAGGGCGAGCAAGCAGCGCACACGAAGCCCCTTACCCCCAACGTCCAAATAAATACATATTTACTCACGCATGAGACGTTCCCGGAAGCCCAACTTCGCTCCTTCGCGCCTTCCCACGAACCAGCCCCCCCCCACC